CATAATATAATTCGTCTGACATAGAAAATGCAATGTATATATATATATATATAGCTACGTAAGCGTATAGTTGTTCATGCTGTCTCATTTTGGTCACAATTTTTAATCTTGAAGGTTATTGTTTTCAATTCGTATTTGTACATGGATTTCACGCCGAGCAAAGTGGATGGTCGCAGCTATTCGTCATGTTTTCGTGGCAAAAAGATGCTCATGGGATTGGCTGAGACGGGACTGAAAAATCCTTGGGGGACGCGGGACAGGACGAGAAACAGTTTCCCATTGTCCCGTCAGTCTCTGACTTACAGTGTAAATAAGATTTATTGAAGATATATTTGATGGTTATATTATGTTTTCTAATTTCAAATTTAGTAGTCTTCATGTGGTATTGCTTTGATCACTTCTGACGACGCAATGAGAACAATAGACAAAATCAGTTGTTCATCCGAAGTTATGAATAGTATTAGACCAGCATACAAATCCTTATTTGAATTCTTTATCAAGAATGATACAGAACTGATAAAATTGCTGTGAACTGTTGAGTATAGATTTATCTGACCTATCTAAGAACGTTAGATCGAACTAGTTCAACTAGTCACTGATGCCAATTTTACTTCTTATTCGTAGAATCTTCTCAAAATAATGATATTGATCATGTTCGTAAAATTAACGACAATTATTGAAGATACATCAAAATATTGATCGAGTGAAATATTACGACGGTTTTAATAAATGTCTATGGAATCAATTATAAGAATGATTGATGTGAAGAAAGAGAGCATGTCGAGATTGAATCTCAACAATCATAAGTTTCAAGTTGAATCAATATGGAATTTCTGTATTCTATGATTCAGATTATCGGCCACATAAATATTACCGTGCTGATCGAATGATAGACCAACAGGACCATTCAATTGATTTGTTTCTGTTCCTTGTCCATTGCTACCTATGATAATACTACCTTGTGTTGCTCCTTTGAGCCAACGCATTACTAGATGTTCGTGAGAATCTACAACATATACCGTACCTAAGTGATCGACAGCTATTCCAGAAGGATATGATAATTGTATACGATCATTTTCTTCACATCCATCACCTACGATAACAATACCTTCTTTTGCACCTTGTTTCCATTTCATCAAACGATGGTTACCAATATCTGATACGTACAGTGAATAATCTTGATCGACAAATAAATGAGCAGGAAAATTGAATTGATCGAGACGATTACCTTTTCCATTACCACCAGCTATCACGGTCCCACATATATCTCCTGGATGCCATCGTCTCACTTCATGTTTTTTATAATCTGAAACATACAAGTATCCATTGCTATCGATGGCTAAACCCCAACAATCAACATCTGAAAGGATTATTTCTCCTTGTTTGCCATTTCGACGTGGCCATCGTACAACTCGTCGATTTCCTAGATCACAAATGATGATATTATCATTTTCTTTATCGATAATTACATTTGCTGGACCATTCAATTGATTAGTTCGATTTCCTTGTTTATTCCCACCAGCAACAACTTGACCATTCATTGCACCACACTTCCATTCCGTAATACGTTGATTCGAGTATTCAGCTACATAAATAGTTTGATCATTATCTACATACATATCCCATGGATAATATAGTTGATTAACTGCACTACCAGGACCATTACCTCCTGCCACGGTAACACCATTCTGCGACCATTTTGTGTTAAAATCAATATTTGGTAAATGTAGTTGTCCTATAGTTATGTAAAGTTTAGTCATTGACATCGGTATGATCGACATCTATTGGATCTTTTCTACATAGTAAGGTACAATCAGCTTACTCTTTCAAACTTGATCAAAACAAGTGAACGAACGAAATCAATCCGTTATTTATTAAAAGTTATTTATCAAAAAAAAATTGAAATAAATTTATTTGTTTAAGAACTAAGTGAATATGAAGCGTACAATATATTTTAATGGAATAAAAATAGTTATAAACAGTTTTTTTTTATATTATTGTGTATATCATTGCTTCAACTTCATATAAAAACTCTCTTAAAAGAATCAACTTTTCATTCATTTATGAAGCAAGCAGAAACTATCGTACTAATTTTTTTTATGAGGAATATTACTTTTCAATAAGGTGTAACTCTTTACTTACCAGATCCAATGCTATTGATCTTGTTCTCTGACGCTACCGAATCTTTTTCAATTATGTTACTTGATAGTTTAATACGTTTCCGAGTTCTATTAGCCATTGTTGTCATATAACACGAATGTTTTAATGATGATATGTAAAGAAAAGTATGTCGCAAAATCTTATCTTTTTATATCAACATGTGACTTGTTGATACAATGAAAGAATGAAAAATAAAAGATTTAAGTCGTTTTTTTGTAGCTTTGCAATTCAAACGAATTAGACGCAATAATATTGATGATATTAAAGATAGACAATTTGTTTTTGGAAAAATAACACTATATGTATATGATTTTCCTATATGACAAACTTTATTTTCTGTACATTGAAATGCACATCCTTCATCATTTTGTCAATAATGTTGATTGTGCTATAAGCTATAATAGTAAAATAACTAATGAATTTCACATATCTGTATGAATCATTTTCTTTCGGATACGAAACTCATATTATGGAAATTATTTCAAGAAATAACAATGTGTAGACCACTATTACTTTTTCTAATATTCTAAAAGAAACGATTTTTTCGTGAAAAATCAAATAATATATTTGACAAAG